TTAGCCAGGCACGCTGGCTGAGGAATTCTGGGAGTTGAAGTCCACAAGTCATAAAAGGGCCAAGTTTGAAGACCCCCTGATTTAGACTGTTGCAACATTGAGCAGGTGATATGATCTCCATTTGTGACCTTCCCAGCTGGTTTCCGACAAGCACAGTCAATGGGGGAAGCCAAATTTGCTTAACAACTGCAGAACTCATTTAACAACTGCAGTATTTGCTTAACAACCATGGCAAAAAAAGGTCTTAAAAATGGGCATGAGTCACTTGCTTAGCAACAGAAATTCTGATCCCTATTGTGGTTGTAAGTTGAGAACTACCAGTAATTCTATAGCTATCACTCCCTGTATACTATGGTGTTTTTCATATAATAGGGTTTTTTTTTTAATGGTTTTCTTGGGGGTGCCTTTGCGTCAGTATTGGAGACTTCCACGTTTTCTTGGCATGGTTTTTGGAAGTGGTTTGTTATTGCCTCATTCCTAGGGCTGGGAGAGAGTGACTGGTCCAAGGTCTTCCAGCTGGCTTTCATGCTTAAGGCGGGATCAGAAGTTACAGTCTCCTGGTGATTGGCCCAAAGTGACCCAATTGGCTTTCATGGTGAGAGTGGGCCTATAGCTCACAGTCTCGTGGTGATTGGCCAAAAGTGATTCAGCCGGCTTTTGTGCCTAAAGTGGAACTAGAACTCATAGCCTTCCAGTTTCTACCCTGGTGCTTAACCACTAGACCAAACTGGATTTTCATCCCACCTCTATTCCCGCCTCTAATAACTCAAAGTGGCAGTTACAATAAACATAGTTCTGACCTCTAAGGTATTGTATTTTTTAATCTGGCTACTGTGTTGGGCTGGCCTGTATAATAGTGCTTTTTATTATTAAACCAAAATCATCATTCTTTCCATTGATTTGTCCCTGACTTTTCTTATCTACCTCTCAAAGAGTATTCAGTGCAGTTTTTAATTCATTCCTTCTATTTCCAATGCTCAGAGACAAGTATTCTTGCTTATGTAGCCAAAACAGCATAAAAGTGAGGGATCAGCATTTTTTTTTTTGCAGAAGTATAAATTTTCTTTGAGGAAAGAATCTTGGTGGGGCGGAAGGGGAATAGAGGTATCTAATTATACAGTAGATAGTAAATGTCAGATAGATACTTGACAGACCATCCAGAAAACAATTTATCAGACTAGACTAGCGATTCTTAATTTTGACAACTTTAAGGTGGGTGAACTTCAACTCCCAGAATCCCCAGCCAGCAAGGCTGGCTAAGGAATTCTGGGAGTTGAAGTCCACACATCTGGAAGTTGCCAAGGTTGAGAAGCATAAATTTGGGTAGATGGGCAACTGTATCAGTTCGACTGATAATCAATTAAACAGTAAATTAACACTTCCATTAATGGCTAATGAATTCTGGGAGTTGAAGTCCACACAGCATAAAGTTGCCAAGGTTGAGAAACACTGAACTAGTCATTCACTTGTCGGCTGTCAGTTTACAGGCTGTTGTGCATCACAACTCTACAATCCTGTGGTGGCTGCATTGTCACTTCCTGCCTGCTCACAATCTTGTACCATTTTCAAAACAAGTTGATATTGACAATCTTCTCTTGTCAGGCCCCAGTTTTGAATCAACCTCCAATCCCATTCTGAGAGCAAGACTCCTTAATTCTACTTTTGTTTCTGTTTTGGGAAAGGTTGCAGAAGAGCAAAAGAAGAATCTGCTCCAGCGCCGTATGGATTTGGGATTGGTAGGATTTCTCCTTTTGGCTGTGGTCTACACACTCTTCCGAGGATTGGTAAGGATAACTGTCTGTCTGTCTGTCTGCCTGGCTGAGGAATGCTGGGAGTTGAAGTCCACGAGTCATAAAAGGGCCAAGTTTGAAGACCCCTGGTCTAGACCAATGTTTCTCAACCTTGGCCACTTTAAGAGGTGTGGACTTCAACTCAACTTCAATGGCTGGCTGGGGAATTCTGGGAGTTGAAGTCCACACCTCTTAAAGTGGCTGAAGTTTAGAAACACTGATCTAGAGAGACTTTTATTTCCTACTAGTGCACCAGAGGAGGTTCATGACCTGGTCCAACTTATGCAATTAATGGGGACTTTGGCGATACCTGATTGAACAGCAGGTAATCCATCAATGCTGGACTGCAAGTACTGATCTCTTGTGGCGGTAAATTCTGCCAAGACTGCAGTGTGTCCAGAATGTCGAGATCAGCAGATTCATTTTCAGACCTGATCTGCATTTTGTAAGCATCCTTTAATGGGGGGTCACGATCTCCTGGGGAAAAAAATGATTGATGAATTACATGGTCAGGAGACTCCTGCCAACCCGGGTGATGCCCAGGGTCACCCCTATCTATCTATCTATCTTTTTTTTTCCTTTAAAGGTACTGTTTTCTGCCTATAGAATGAGCCAGTGTGCCCTTAAAATAGCCCTTGAACAATTTTGGCAGTTAGACCAGTATTTAAAACTTAGATGTTTTGCATACAGGTAATCCTCAACTTATAACCATTCATTTAGTGACTATTCAAAGTTACAACAACACAGAATAAAAGTAACATAACCGGTCCTCACACTTACGACCATCACAGCAGCCCTACATTCACGTGATTAAAATTCGAGCCCTTGGCAACCAGTATGTATTTACAATGGTTGCGGCATTCTGGGGTCACGTGATCACCATTTGCAAACTTCCAGCCAGCTTCTGACAAGCAAAGCTGTGTGATTCACAGCTGCAGTGATTCACTTAAGAACTGTGACAAAAAGGGTCATAAAATCAGATGTGACTCACTAAACCATTTTATGTAGCAATGGAAATGTAGTCCTGGTTGTGATTGTAAGTCGAGGATTACCTGTACAAATGAGATGTTCAGCCACTAAACTGGGGCCTCAGATTTGTGGTCTACGGCCCACTTATGGTTCTCTGAGTCATTTCATGCAGTCTGTGAGGGTATTATTAATAATAATAATAATAATAATAATAATAATAATAATAATGCAGATAATAACAAGACCTGGCAATGGCTAAGAGCAGGAAAATTGAAGAAAGAGACCGAGGGTCTAATTCTGGCTGCACAAGACCAAGCCTTAAGGACAAATGCATATAAAGCCAAAATTGAGAAGACAGCAACAGACAGTAAGTGCCGCCTATGCAAAGAAGCTGAAGAAACAGTGGACCACCTGGTAAGCTGCTGCAAGAAGATTGCACAGACTGACTACAAGCAGCGGCATGACAAAGTAGCAACAATGGTGCATTGGAAGATCTGCAAGAAATATCATTTGCCTGTAAGCAAAAACTGGTGGGATCATNAAGCACCTGCAACATAACACCCCAGACTTAACAATTGTCGATAAGAAAGACAAAAAAGTCTGGATAGTGGACGTGGCAGTGCCTGGAGACAGCAGAATAGACGAGAAAGAACTGGAGAAGATAACAAAATACAGAGACCTACAAATAGAAATAGAAAGACTGTGGCAAAAGCAAGCAAAAGTAGTACCAATAGTAATAGACGCCTTAGGTGCAATTCCAAAACAACTGGAGCACCACTTGAACACCATTGGCATTGACAAATTCGCTATTAGTCAATTGCAAAAGGCGGCCTTACTAGGAACTCCTTCTATCCTGCAACGATATCTGTAATACCATCAAACATCCACATCTGCCTATCCCAGGTCCTGGGAAAGGACTCGATAGGTAGACAAAATGCTAAATCCAGTCTGAACATCTGGCTGACTGTGCGATGATCCATAATAATAATAATAATAATAATAATAATAATAATAATAATAATAATAAAAAAGTTGGAAGGGACCTTGGAGGTCAGGAAAGTATATCCTATGGAGGGTACTTGAGGCAAAAAGTGGAAGCAATGCTCACTGCCTTTTCTATGGCTGTAACACAGGAGTGGGGAACTATGGCCCTTTTATGACTTGTGGACTTCAACTCCCAGAAATTCTGAGCCATGCTGGCTCAGGAATTCTGGGAGTTGAAGTCCACAAGTCATAAAAGGGCCATAGTTCCCCACCTCTGGTGTAACAAGTGAGGCAACAGCAAACCAGGGAGATGGTCTTACAGAACCAGAACTTGAGTCCTCTGCGATTCTCTGCACAGCCTTTGGAGCCATACTGTAGTTTTAGTTTTCCTGAAGTTGAATGCTGGTTGAACACACATCCAAACATGTATTGGGCCCTGAGTTTTGGGGCCCCCATGTTTGGAAGAAAGATGGTTGTTCACACAAACCACATCTCTTTTCCTTCCCCTCCCCCAATACACAGATAGCCCTCACTTGTTATTATTACTTAGCATATGATAAGAATTCGACAAAGAGTAAACATATACACACACTCCACGTAATTACAGTATATACAGGTAATCCTCGACATGACCACAATTGAGCCCAAAATTTCTGTTGCTGGATGAGACAGTTGAGACAGACATTTTACGGCTTTTCTTGCCACAGTTGTTAAGTGAATCGCTGCAATGGTTAAGTTAGTAACATGGCTGTGAGGTGCATTTGGCTTCCCCATTGATTTTGCTTGTCAGAAGGTTGCAAAAGGTGGTCACATGACACTGGGATATTGCAATTGTCACAAACGTGAATCAGTTGCCAAGCGTCTGAATTTAAATCCAACGACCATGGTGAGGCTGCAGTGATCGTAAATGTGAAAAGCGGTCATAAGTCATTTTTTTTCAGTGCTGTTGTAACTCTGAATGGTCACTAAATGAACTGTTGTGAGTCAAGGACTACCTGCACAAAATGTCTACTGGGAGGTATGGCAGTGGCCTCATAACTAGATGTCCAATTCAGCTATTCAGTCCTCACGTAAGGACCAGAACTGAGCCTGGACAGTCATTGTGGCTGTTAAGCGGATCACCACATAACTTGACTCAATTGTACAACTGTTTTACAATGGTTGTAAAGTGAGTCACTGGTCATTAAGTGAATCATATGATTGTTAAATGAATCCCTTCTGAAAGCGAGGTTGGTTTTTTTTTGCCAGAATCATGGTCGTGACTGGGATGTTGCAACCAGTTATAAATGAGAGCTGGTTGCCAAGCAACTGGAATGTGATCACATGACTGGGTGTGTGTGCAACAGTTATAACTTTGAGGATAGGTAGTAAGTAACTTTTGGGCGATCCTTTGTAACTTCAGACAGTTGTCAAGTAGGTAGTCCTCGTTTAGCAACCACAACCAGGACCAGCAACTTGACTGATAAGCAAAGCGGTTGCTAAATAAAACCATAACTGAGCTTACAATTTTACCTCAGCTTTGCTTTGCAGACCTGCAAAGGTTGTAAATGTGAGGATTGGTCACAAAGTTACTTTTTCATCATCTTTGTAATTGCGAACGGTCACTAAATGAAGCAGTCATTAAATGAAGACTATCTATGCTCTAATCCAGAGGTCCCCAATCTTGTCCACTTTATGACTTGTGGACTTCAATTCCCAGAATTCTTCAGCCAGCATGAAGTTGAAGTCCACAAGTCATAAAGTGGACAAGGTTGGGGACCCCTGCTCTAATCCATGACTCGTTTGAATCTCTGTCCCTTAAAAGAAGCCAAGATGGATGAAGCATTTTGCAAAATGTCTTCTGATACAGAAGAAATATGGTGCCAAGAGTGGTAATCATTCCATTTTGGAGTATTAGAGTTGTTCATGATTTGGGGAGGGGCAAAGTAAATAGATTTACAAACAGTGTGTGTATGTTTGTGTCTCTCTGCAATTACAGGTTGTTCTGGACTGCCGAGCTGATTCCTGCTTTGATTACGTTTATCAGCAAGAACCGTACCTGCGAGATCCAGTGGCCTATCCCAAGATTCAGGTACATTCAAATTGTCTGGGAAGAATTCCCTGCAGAATAACTCTGTAAACTCCTCCTAATCTAATGTCCTTCTGATTTTGGGGTCTGCAGCCTTTGACTGCTTCCTCTTCCTTTCATTATAATGACAGCATCTGTTAGAACTGTGTTTTTCATAACACATTCATAAAATCTGGATTGATGTGGTTGCCTATGGATCCAGATTTCACTGCAGGAGGATTATCATTCAAGTCCCAAAGGTGCTTTTCCAAAAAGCAACTGGACTTTCTTGGGTTTTTTTTTGCTTGAAAACATTTCACTTCTCATCTAAGAAGGTTCTTCAGTTCAGCTGCCTTTTGGAAAAATACTTTTGGGACACGCATGACCTGGATGATTGAGAATCTCCATAGACAATGTCATTCAAGAAATCTTGTATTGTTGATCTGTGCTGGAATCTAATGTTTCTCGGTATCCTTGTTTGTAGATGTTGGTGTATCTATTTTATGTCCTGCCGTATTTCTGCATCTGCATCTACGGATTACTCGTTCCTGGATGCACATGGATGGGGGACTGGGCCTTGGTTTTTGCTGGTGCTATTGGACAGGTATGTAACAATTCCAGGTTAGGAGAGATCCTCACATTCAGAGCTGTCATATTCTTTGAAGTGCAACACCAAAGAATAGCAATAGCAATAGCACTTAGACTTATATACCGCTACACAGTACTTTACAGCCCTCTCTAAGCAGTTTACAGAGTCAGCCTATTGCCCAACAATCTGGGTCCTCATTTTACCGACCTTGGAAGGATGGAAGGCTGAGTTAGCCTTGAGCTGGTCAGAATCAAACTCCTGTCAGTGGACAGTGAGTTAACCTACAATAGTGCATTCTAACCACTGCACTACCACGGCACAGTGGTTAGAATAGTGCAGTAACTGGACAGTTTAAATGTTTACAAATGTCATATGGCAAAACTTTATTGGAAGGAAGCACTACAGGTGGTCCTTGACATACAAGCACAATTGGGACTAGAATTTCCATTGCTAACCATGACGGTTGAGATGTCCCATGGACATACAAACTCCATTTGTGACTCTTCCCAGCCGGCTTCCAACGAGGGGGGACATGATAGCAGTGTTCCAATATCTCAGGGGCTGCCACAAAGAAGAGGGAGTCAAGCTATTTTCCAAAGTGCCTAAAGGCAGGACAAGAAGCAACGCGTGGAAACTAATCAAGGAGAGAAGCAACCTGGAACTAAGGAGAAACTTCCTGACAGTGAGAACAATTAACCAGTGGAACAACCTGCCTCCAGAAGCGATGAATGCTCCAATCCTGGAAGTTTTTAAGAAGAGACTGGACAGCCATTTGTCTGAAATGGTATAGGGTTTCCTGCCTGAGCAGGGGGTTGGACTAGATGACCTTCAAGGTCCCTTCCAACTTTACTACTACTACTACTACTACTACTACTACTACTACTACTATTATTATTATTATTATTATTATTATTATTATTATTATTATTAAGCAAAGTCAATGGAGGAAGCTGAATTTGCTGAATCGCTGCATGTTTCACTTAATAACTGCAGTGATTTGCTTAACAACCTTTACAAAAAAAGTCATAAAATCAGGTCTGACTCACTTAGCAACCATCTTGTTTAGCAATGGAAATTCTCATCCCAGTTGCAGTTGTAAGTTGAGAACTACCTGTATTTTGTGAGACTTTGGGGAGAAAATAAACTTTGTAGAGATTTCGGCAACAAGGCATTAGACTTTGTAAAATCTCAGGGTTTCAGGCAAGGTCCAAGGGACCTTGGACTGTTGAAATTTCAATAAGCTCATTTGTAGTTTGGTTTTTGGACTATGAAAAGTTTGCCAGCCACTGAAATACACTCTTCCACGGGGTGTGGTACTTTCCAGATCAGTAATTTTGAAGAGGGTACCAAGAAGATATAGAAAAATGCATCAGTTCCCCTGTGGCATTTCTTCCTTGCATTTGCATTTTGCTGTGTTCCGCTCCTCTAACTTCAGTTTAGCCAGCAGAATTTCCAAATTTATTCCTGAAATTATTGAAGCATTTGCCAATTGGCACGCATGCCTGAATGAGACTGCCCGAAATAAAGAGAATCATTTCTGATGTGGCTCTGCATCAATATTTCTCAACCTCTGCAATCTTAAGAAGGGTGGACTTCATCTCCCAGAATTCCCTAGCCAGCATGAAGTCCACCCTTCTTAAGGTTGCTAAGATTGAGAAACACTGCTCTATGTAAAAGGATATTATGATCCCTTTTAGAAGAGACTTTACTGATGCATATTTGTGCTCCTAAGCATCAGTGTGTTTGAACACGCACAAAAAGTCATGTTTTGTTGCCTATCTATGGCAGAGCTGAGTGGAAGAGGAAAAAGGCACAAATACAATAAGCAAAGCTGAAAATTAGAACACACCCACACCTGACCCACCACAAGACCTACTGACCAGAATCAGAATCAGAATAGAACTGGAATGGACTTTGGAGGTCTTCTAGTCCAGCCCCCTGTTCAAGCAGGAAATACCATTTCAGACAAGTGGCTGTCCAGTCTCTTCTTAAAAACCTCTAATGATGAAGCACCCACAATGACTGAAGGCAAGCTGTCCCACTGGTTAATTGTCATTACTGTTAGGAAGTTTCTCCTTAATTCCAGGTTGCTTCTCTGCTTGGTTAGTTTCCATCCAGAATAACACTATAAGCTGGGAGGAATAGCCAACACCCCAGAATAACAGAGTTGGAAGGGATTTTAGAGGTCATCTAGTCCAACCCCCTGCTCAAAATCTTTTCTGTCTCTTCCATTTTTCAGGCTCAGTTTTCCCACATTGCTGCTTCTATTCACCATCGCACTCCGTTTCCGTACCGCATCCCAGAAAGAGAGTGGTGGTTTGTTGTCCTGTGCAATGTAGCCTATGCGGTGGGCCCACAACTCTTAGCTTACCGCTGTCTCTACAAACCTGCCTTTTTCTGTACCCCGGTTTCCCAGTCCAAAGACAAGAAGAACCAGTGAAAAAAAGGAAATATTGTGCTCAAATCCAATGGTGTTACACACAGGTGCTTCCTGGGGAGAACCCCAGTTCTGACTGAGTTTTAAATAACTTGGGGGTGGGTGGTCCAAACCATTCTGGGGTTCTTACAACCTTTTTTCTCATCTGCGTGATGCACTTGAAGCTGATTTGAAACAGTGAAATCAAAAATGTTCATTTGTCTAGAGCGGATTCTTTTGATGTGGCGAACAACGTTAACACAAAGGCATGGTGGTTTTAGGTCTTTAAAAACTACACGGAGGTTTTAGGGTGGGAGGTTCCTAGGAGCTGTGAGAATATAGAAGAACCAGAGAGATTTGAAAGCCTTTGAGGATGTAATTCGAAGAAGCTGGCTATCCTGGTGTCCATTTTTTTTATTTTTCATCTGGAAAGGATGGGTGCTAATTTGTGAACAAAAGGAACTTGTTCATAACACAGAAACAGGGACCTGGAACAGCATCAAGAAGTCACTGTTTACAGAATTATAAAGGAAAAAAAACCAGATTAATATATGACTTTTAAAGAGTTTGGCTCTTGTGTCTTTTGTCTGTGCTTGGCCAAACTGACTGATGCTATCTAGATTCATACTGGCTGGGTCCACAAGTTTGGTTGATTTGACTTAAAGCATTGTGTGAATGAATTAAGGCAGGGAAATTCTTGTGGAAAATGAAAGAACTCTTACGAATTCCAGAGGGGTTTAGCAGAGAGGTTTATTTGCGCAGGTTCAGAAGCATAATGGAGATAGGCAATTCTGAACAAGGAGGGTGGGATTAGACTTCAGTTTTATATTATTCTTCTTTCAGGAACCAAAGGACTACACATGGAAATACACATTGTAATACATTTGGATCGTTTCTCATGGGCATACAATGGAAGGTTTTGCTACATACAAAGTATCTATGTGCAATGCGCATTTGGTTAGCCACATATTACTGACACAGAACTTTCCCAGTGAATTTTCCCAGTGATTATGCATTACATCATTATTCTAGCAATTATGCAGACAAATCATTATTCTAGTTATGCAGACAAATCATTATTCTAGTAATTGTTCTAGATTACTAGATTAGTGTCAAACTCGCAATGCAACGTTTCCATTGTCGGCAATGGGGTGGGCGCAGTTTCGCCATGATGCATCTGGCCTGCGGGCCGGCAGTTTGACACCCCTGCATTAAGGGGTTTGAAAAGCATATTCATAGCACAATATAAGTAATCCTCAAATTACAACTCTAATGAAGCCTGCCCATTGTGGTCATAACTCGTGGCAATCAATCGTCAAGTCATCATGTGACCGACCCGGTTTTATAAGCTTGTTTGTGGCATTTGTTAAGTGAGCATTGTAATTGTTAAGCAAATCCATGGTTTGCTGTTGGATGGTTTTGCCAAAAAACTGGAAGCAAATGCCAGTTTTTGGCAAAACGGTGGTAAAAATCTGTTCGTATGACTGTGGGACTCTGCAAACAGCCATAAATGCAGCTTGGTTACCGAGCAACCAAAGTGTGGTCATTTGACCATGGGAGGCCCAACTGTTGGAACTTCAAATCCAGGTCGTAAGTACCCACAGGTAGGTTGTTGGAGATTCAAATGGTTGCTAAGTGACCGGTCATAAATTGAGGACCATCTGTATGGAGACTCAACTCAGTTTAGTTGCCTCACAGTAGTCAGGCAAGCCACAGCTTTATACCATGTGAAAACCAATTCAGTGCCAATCGTTGATGGAAAGGTAACATTTGATCTAATAGTTAAAGGACCAGGCTAGAAACCAAAAGATGATGAGTTCTAGACCCGCCTTAGGCATGAAAGCTGGCTGGGTGACTCGGGGCCAATCACCCAGGAGATTGTGAGTTCTAGTCCCGCCTTAGGCATGAAAGCCAGCTGGATGACTTTGGGCTAGTTCAGGGGTAGGCAACCTTGGCTCTTTTATGACTCGTGGACTTCAACTCCCAGAATTCCTGAGCCAGCCATGCTGAGGGGAAAGGGAGAGGTTTCCAAGCTGAGCCATGCTGGCTCAGGAATTCTGGGAGTTGAAGTCCACGAGTCATAAAAGAACCAAGGTTGCCTACCCCTGGGCTAGTTCTTCCCACTCTCAGTCTAATCAACTTCACAAGGTTGTTGTTGTGGGAAAAATAGGAGGACAAAGGCATATTATGTAAGTTCACTTACATAATATTATTTTTTTAAAAAATAATGAAGGCAAGTTTAAAAATGTAAAATTTAAAAAATGACTTTTACCTTCACAAAAACTATCAAGTACAGAGCATTGTACGCTGTTGACTCCAGTGACAGGATTAATAATGCAGTGCAAGTTCAAATTCACCTTCTAGTGAGTGTCCTGTTTCTTCTAGCTGCCAAGCACCTGTTCTGGGAAACCTCCAAGCTGGGCAGAAAACCAACAATCCTCTCCTATTTTTTGCATCCCACATTGTTGGGTTATTGCCCCTACATATGCAGGTTTCTTTTTAGCGATAGCAATAGCACTTAGACTTATATACCGCTTCACAGTGCTTTACAACCCTCTCTGGGCTGTTGCCCCCCACAATCTGGGTCCTCATTTTACCGACCTCAGAAGGATGGAAGGCTGAGTCAACCCTGAGCCAGTGAGAATCGAACTGCTGGCAATCGGCAGAATTAGCCTGCAATACTGCATTCTAACCACTGCGGCCCCATGGCTCTTTTATTTTTTTGCTACTAGAACAATAATATTAGACCTCTGCAAAACCCAAAGATCAATCTCATCTAAAAATTCTATTTTCCATTATGCAGTAGATGCTTCTGAAAAAGTGCAGTTAGTCCTCAATTTACAGCTGTAACGGAGCCTGCCTATTTATATTCATAGCCTAGGCCAGGGGTAGGCAACCTTGGCTCTTTTATGACTCGTGGACTTCAACTCCCAGAATTCCTGAGCCAGCCAGAAGCATCCCCATGGTCATGTGATTAAAATTCAGATTTGGGCCACTGGCTCATATCTATGATCGTTGCAGTGTCCCGGGGTCATATGATCACCTTTTGTGACTTGCTGACATGCAAAGATTGATTTAATAACTGTGTTATTAACTTAACAGCTGCAGTGATTCGCTTAACAAATGTCGCAAGAAAGGTCGTAAAATGGGGCAAAATTCACTTAACAGCTGTCTCACTTAGCAACAGAAATTTCGGGCTCTGTTGTGGTCTTAAGTTGAGGACTACGTGTAATGAGGCTGGAAAAGGCAAAATTAGCCTTGGATTTTCCCACCCAGCAGCCTTGCGTAGAACGTAGGATGCCTCTTTCCGTACGGATGAGGCTCCAAACTCCAAAACTGGAACCAAGATTTGGGGCCTGCCTCTACCTAGCTTCCGACCTACTTTACTGCTGTCCAGGAATCCAGCCAAAGGATTTGCAGGTTCTCCTTCCACATCCCTTTTTCTCTTCGCCCTCCCCACATTTTGGTGCCAAACCCTCCCTTCTGCTGGTCTGTGCAGGCTGCCCTAATGCAGTTATTGCTCCTCAGTCATTTCCATACAACTTTGTGCTCATTTTTTCATTCCCAGGCAGCAGAGCTCTCTCTCTCTCTGTCCCCCCCCTTCCCTGTTTCTTTCTTTCTCTCTCTCTCCCTCCCTCCCTCCTTCCCTCCCTACTTCTTGGAGTTTGCTGACTAAGACTCTGAAAAGAAGCTATCAGCATCGTGCTGCTAAATTAAAAAAGAAGAAAAAAAAGAAAAAAAAAGAAAAAGAAAGAAAGAAAGAAAAAGAAAGAAAGAAAGAAAGAAAGAAAGAAAGAAAGAAAGAAAGAAAGAAAGAAAGAAAGAAAGAAAGGAGACTGCAAACCCTCCCCAAATGAACTAAGACTGGCAAATTTCTTTTCTGTTCTCTCTTCTCTCTCCTACTTCTGCCCTGTTTCTTCAGCATTGCCTCTTCTGCAGTCATCTCAACTTCAGTCACCGGTGGAGATTTTTGGCCTGGGACATCTCCTGTCCCCCCCCACTTCAAGGAGAAACGGTGAGTCTTCTTTGGTGCAAGACAGAGTTACAGTTTTTGGTTTCACCTTGATAATGCAGCGTTGGCTGATCCGGAGTTGATGTAATAAGTCGGATGCTTTAGAGAGCATCCTTTGGCATCTTACTTGGGTACCACTTTTCTTGCTGGGCTAAGCAGAATAAAAGCAAAACGGGCCCCCCGTCTTCTGCAACTCTCAGTTGCAGTGGGTTTACCGAAAAGGGGGAGTTTTCTTCTTGGGAAAGGTTCTAACAAGGATTTGTGATTGATTTTGAATTCTCTGCATGGAATGTTAAGGGGGAGGGGAATATGGGACAGCGAGTCTGATTTCAACGTTCCTCTGAGTTCCTAATTCTGCAGCAGCCCTGAGGTTAGATGTCAAATCTGTGAAAATGAAAAAAAGGGGGCAAAGATAGAGCATTTATCTTTCAGTTGTGTGTGTGTGTGTGTGTGTGTTGGGGGGGGGGAGCTTGAGAGATCCATAATCTCCAGAGAGCTGGAGAACTTTGCAAATCTCTTCTCTGCAAAAGGAAGTGCTTGGTTGTTTTTTTTTTAACTCCTTGTTGTCTGACTTGTAAAGAGGAAGTTCATTTCACGCCCTGTTCACCTAGCCCCACTTCGCTTAACTCCGGCAGCAGTTTTCCACTTCTGTTTCCTTTGGGGGGGAAGGGAGGTTCAGCCACGATGCTGTGTTTCTACCCCTTAGAATAAAGCAAAACCCTAGTCCTCATGATTCTGAATAAAAGGCTGGTCGAAATCATCTGTTTCTTTAGCAGTAGAATTATATATTCTGACTTATAATGGCTTTCTGGGGTAGAAATGAGGACTTCCCCATCACTTGCTATCTGTTTTTTTTTTTTTTTAGTGGTAAGGGCCCAGGATTGAACCTGTAATCTAAATGCAGCGGTCCCCAACCTTTTGTGCACCAGGGACCGGTAACGTGGAGAGAGGTTTTTCCGCGGATCGGATGAGGTGTGGTTTTGTGTGCTGCCTGCATCCCGTGGATGGGGCT